CGGACGGTCGGGTTGCTGCGTCTCCCTTCTCGACTGTCTGTGCTTGTGCGTCTTGGGTCGGGGGTTGTGTTTTTATGTGAGGAGGCTCATGTGCACGGCCGGGCGCATGCCGTCGGCGACGCGGGGCCGCGCCCACAGATCATCCTCCCCACATCTCCCCACATCTCCCCATCTCCCGCCTCGAGATCCTCAAGGTGTATCTCTCCCCACCTCTCCCCACCTCTCCCCACATCTCCCCATCTCTCCCGCGCCCAGATCATGATGGCCGCGTCGCGCTCCGACTCCTTGCTCGTCGCCTGCGCGGGACGTGTCTCGGACATGTCGTGGACGTGTCGCGGACACGGCGCGCTTGGAGGCGTCGCCTCGCGCCTGCGGGACGTGTCTCGGACATGTCGTGGACGTGTCGTGGACATGTCGACGGGGCTCCCCACCCTCCTTGCTCGTCGCCTGGCGCAGCAGCGGCCGCGGCGGCGCGAGCTTCTTGGGCGTGGGCGTGTCCTGCCATGGCGGCGACCCCGGCGTCGGAGATATGGGGAGATATGGGGAGATATGGGGAGATATGGGGAGATATGGGGAGACGTGGGGAGAGAGATGTCCTGCCACGGCGGCGACTCCGGCATCAGCGCCGCCCCTTCGGGCGCGACAATGTCGAGGCACTCGCCGCCGCCGCCCGCCGCCGCCTCCGCCGCCTCCGCCGCTGGCGCCGGTGCCGGTGTCGCCGGCGTCGCCTCCTCCCCGCGGGTGGAGAGACGCTCCGAGAAGGTCCGCTCCCCGGCCCCCCCCCCGGCCACCTCGGCGCTGGCCTCGGCGCCTCCCTCCGCTCCTTCGCCTGCCGCCCCGTCTGCCACCGCCTCACCGTCCTCCAGTTTCTGCATCTTGAGGTCGGCGCCGTCTGTCGCGGGGCGGGGTACCGGATGGGTGGCATTGAAGCCCGAGGGGTGCGGAAGGCGCACGGCGGGGGCCGGCCTCGGGGTGAGGGTGAGGCCGGCCGCCGCCAATCTCAAGTTCCCTTCTCGATTCTTCGCGGGTTTTGGTGCAGTCACCTTCCCCCGCGGCGCCGTCCTCCTCCGGAGAGGCGAGCGCGGACGGCAGCGGCGGCGCGTGCCTAAGGTGCAGGTACGGACAGCTGAACGTCTCCACCCACACAAGGCGGTGGGGCAAGGAGGCTGCCTAACGCCATGAACGCTACCGAGGGCGTGCGCTCTTCGCGCGATTGGCTTGTCAGAGCGACGGGTGGAGCTGGGGGCCACACGAGCTCAACGCAGCGGAGTGCGGCCCTGGTCCGTCCAGGAAGCGGCTACTCCCCACGGGTCGGTGGCCCTCATCTAGGGGCGCGCGCTCGACGTCGACGATGCGGGTGCGGTGCTTGCTGACAAAGCCCTTCAGCCTCTCCACCGCCTCCACGACCAAGCCCTTCAGCCTCTCCACCGCCTCCACGACCAAGCCCTTCAGCCTCTCCAACGCCTCCACGACGGCCTTCAGCTTCTCTGGGACCGGCTGAGCGCCGCCGTTGGCCGCGGAGATGAGGCCCTTTCGCTGCCGCTTCTTCCGCTCGCCGAGGATGCGGAGCATGCGGTGCATGCACACCTGAAGAAGCGGCGAGGGGCAGAGGAGGTGGAGGGGGGGGAAGGGGCGAGGGGCGAGGGGCGGCGTGGAGCGCGAGGCGCGCGTAAAAGGCGATGCCGAAGAAGCCGCCCAAGATTCCGACGATGCCGACACCGGGCGTGTCGTGGTCCTCGTGGAGCAGGTGGGCAAAGATCTCGACGGCGCCCGCCTCCAGCAACGCGCCGCCTCCAAACGCCATCAGCGCCGCGCGAAAGATGGCCGTCCCGACCAGCCCGTTTACGCCCAGAAGCGCGCCCATCACGAACGATGCGGCAGAGAGCGCGCCCCAGCCCGCCGCGGCCCACGCCCACGCGGCTCGGTCGGGATCCGCAGTCAGCGTGAGGGAGAGGGCGATGACGCCGGTGATGGCGTAGGTGACGACCTCGCAGCGGCTGAAGAGCGCTCCCATGAAGAGGTGGGCGCGCTCCGCGAACTCCATCGTTTTTCCTTTGACCGTGGCGAACTCCATTTTTCCTTCGAACAGAACGCCGTCGTCAGCGGACGCAGCCGCCGTTCTCACGTCTTCACATCATATAGTTTTCCTTTGCCCGCCGTCATCGGCGGACTTCGCAGCCGCCGTTCTCACTCTCACGTCTTCACATCATATAGTTTCTTTGCCCGCCGTCATCGGCGGTCTTCGCAGCCGCCGTTCTCACGTGAACCATGCCTGTTAAAATGAACTCGGCTCTCGGGGGCACGGGACGCGACACAATGTGTTGACCGTTTTCTTTTCTTTTTCCAAAGAGAAAAAAGAGATCCCGCCTCGAGCATTTACTTGCCAGAGGAGGTCGGCGGGGTCTTCGCACGCGCGATTGAGAGAGAGAGAGAGATTTAGATTTAGTGCCAGTGCGCTCCAGTCCCCGTGCCAGTCTTGAGAGAGAGATTTTTAGCAATACCAAACAACTCTAACACTCACACGTCATTTGGGGCCTGGAGCCTTTGTTTGTTCCAGTCTTGTGAAAAAAGTCCTTCATTTTTTCCGCATCGGTTAGACTTCCGGAGCGGTGTGTATGACCGTGATGACATCCTTGAGCCGTGGGATAAATGTGTCAACGTGCTGAGGCACACGATGATGGATATGCACCTGCTTCCTCTAGCCAAGCTTGCTACTTCATATTTTGGTCTGCCTGATGACGAGCTCCAGACGCTTGTAGTGTCAGAGCTTGGTCGCTTCCTTGCTGCCCAGGATGCAGCTGTCGACACAATGGGCGCCCAGGAGTATAGGGCCCAAGCCGCTGCGTGTATCGACAAGCTGCTGGCGGGTCAAGGTGACCGGAAGGCGCTGCTCGTGATGAGGCTCATGCAGAAAAAGTCAGAAGTTTATGTGTCGAGATCTGAGCCTACAACTCCTTGAGTGGGTAATGATCTGATATGAGACAAAACGCTATACACGTACGGTTCCAAATAGGTACTGGTTCGAAAGGAATCGAAGCATGCAGAATCGTGTGGGGTTCAGATGTGGTTTGATCATGACGATTGTCCTATGATTGAACTGATCATGTGTTACACAAATAACCCAATTGACCATTATCTAATAGACGTAAAGATAGTTTTGCCACGATCAATGGTTTGTAACTCGTTACATATGAAACTTTGGCTGTGGCGTACTCTCGTGAGGCTGTGAAAGCAGCACGCCCACCCTAGCGGGATTGGGCACTTGCCCCCGAAGGCAAGTGCGTCTGATTCACAGCTTAGGAGAGTAGCTGTGGCGGCACATTCAGCGGCGCTCTTGGCGGCGACAGTCATGCGGAGCCCAGGTCACGCCTGGGCAGGCCTCCTGGTGGCCGCGCTGTGCGTGGTCGTCATCCTCGATATGGGCTCCAGTGCCCTCCACGCGCGCGCGTGCTTCTTGCGCTCTTCTGCGTTCTGCTGCAGGATCATTTCCTGCAGCAGGGTGCAGGAGGCGCTGCAGGATCGCTCGCCGCTGCGCGGCGCGGCACGGGCGCCTCGGCGCTCGGCCGCTCGGGCGGCGCGCTCGCGCTCTGCGAGTCCGCGCTGCCCACGCGCGCAAGGCGCGCAAGAGCTGCTGCTGCTGCCTCTTACGTCTGGCCGGCTGGTACAATCGGGTCGGCGGGAGGCGGCGACGGGCGGCGGCTGGCGGCGGGGGCCGCGGCGGCGCGCGCTCGAGAGATGGAACGCGGCGCCCGCGTGGCGCGGGCCGCAGAGGTTGGCAGAGCCAGAGGCTCTGCCCTGCTGGAGGTTCCCGCTGGCGGTCTGCCGCCTGCGGTGGGCGGGGAGGGCGGCTGCCCTCGCCTGCTTCCCATACTTACTGTTCGGAGGTGCCCTCAAGCCTCATCTACGTCACCGCCAGCGATAGGACGCTCGAGCTCGTCTCGGGCGCGGCAGCCGCGTCTTTCTTTTTCGAGGGTCCACAGGTGTGGGGAGCGGGCGGGGCGGCTGCTGCGGCAGAGGTGGAGGGCGGCTGCCTCTGCCCGGCTTCTGGCTGGTCCTGGACGAGTCCGCTTTTACGTCACCAACGAAGGTCAGCCGCCCGAGTACGACTTGGGCGCGGTCGTTGCTGCGTCAATTTGTAACAACATTTCTTCAGCGAGGCCACAGGATCAGAGGGCGGGCGGGGCGGCCGTCGAGACGCCGGCGGGGGCGGCGATCGAGCGGGCGGGCGCGAAGGCCGGGCTCCGGGAATGTATGTACGTAAGAGGTACGTAAGAGCTACACGCCGCGCGTAGGGCCCTTAGGGGCCTAGCTAGAGAATACAACCCTCTCTCCCTTTTCTCGTAAGCTAAAAGTACGTACACTGAAAAGAGAAGAACATTTCTTGTTGGCTTCTAAAAATCTCTCTCTCTGAAAAGAGTGGGAGTTGTGTTTTTGTGGGGGGGGGGGGGGGGGGCAAAAGCGGTCCCCCCCTATTGGCCCCGACACTGAACACCCTTTTTATATATACCAAAAGGGGGGCTACCCGAGGCCCTTTACGCTGGGGGGCCGGGGCCCTACTGGGGGCCCCCCCCCCCCGGGGTCCCTCGGGGGCGCGCGACGCCGCACCAATGGCGCGCTGTGCCTCGTCCGTGAGCGCCGTCCAGAGCTGCACCGACAGTCGCTGCAGCGCAAACGGCATCCATTCGCGCGCCGACCACGACGTCTGGTCACCCAGCAGGTCCAACACCCTTTCGGTCAGCAGGTCCATGCCGGTCCAGCGTAATAGGGACCTCCCTGCGAGCCATGGCCGCCGCGCTCCGCTCGCTCTTCGAGTCGCCGCGTTCGAGTCGAGCCGGCTACCTGCTGGTGCCATCCGCGGCCGGGCTTGAGAGAGAGACCGGCGTCGGCTGCGGCCGCCCTCGCTCGACCAGGCAGGCCGTTGCCGTGGCCGTGGCCGCTGTGAGCGCCGCCATGGCCAGCGAGGGGTGCAGCAGGGCCTTCTCGGCCATCAGTGGCGGCTCATCGGCGCTGCACCGGGGCTCTGCAATCATACTGCTCCTGTTCCTCGTCTTTCTCGGCATCGCTGCCGCCATCGCCGACGGGGTGATCACCGCCGAACGCGCGGCGAGGGTGTGGTCCGTGGTGCTGCCGGGCGTGCCGCTCGTCGCGCTGCCGATCTCGGGCCTGCTGCTCCGGGACGACGAGATCTTCGCGCTGGTCGGCGGGCAGAGCGCGGAGGCGCTTAGCTTCGAGCGGCTGTCGGGCTGGGTGGCGCCGACGCCCTTCCTGTTGGGGGCGGCGCACTCGATGATGCCCCGCGCGCTGCGGTGGAAGGGCAAGGTCGCCCTCGCCTGGCTCTGCCTCCACGCGCTCCACACCGCCGTGCTGGCGCGCCCCCGAACTCGCTCGTTGGCGGGGTCCAGGGGCGCGAGCCCTCCGCCGCGCACCGTCTCTCGGAGCTCCGCAATAGGTGGCGCGCATCGGCCCAAGCCCGAATCTCTGCCGGCACATGCTCTACCGCGCGGTCGCTCTGGCGGCCGGCTTCGGCGGCGGCGAGCTCACTGCTTGGGGCTTGCGCGGCGACGCGATTCGGGCGCGGTTGCAGGCGATCCGCGGTCGGTTTGGCCCTCTAGAAGCTAACGACGTGTCACAACGATCTCCGACTAGTGCGACCGCTAGAGGGCGGTCTCCGCCGGCCCCAAGGCTGCCCAGCCCCAGAACCACACCGGCCACGTGCACCGTGGCGCTAGAGAGCCGGCATCGGCGTAGGCTGCGCTGGAAGGTGCACTCTGCGCAACCACTCACCGAGGCCGAGGAGGAGATGCAGGCGCGTCTCACCCACACACGCACACACGCACGCACGCGCGCGCGCGCGCGCGCGCACACACACACACTTCACCCACGCACACGCACACACACACACACACACACACACACACACACACACACACACACACACACACACACACACGCACGCACACACACACGCACGCACGCACACACACATACACACACACACACACACACACACACACACACACACACACACACACACACACACACACACACACACACACACACGCACACGCACACGCACACACACACGCACGCACTAGCCTGGCCCTCGCCCCACCACCTCGTGTGTGTGGAGAAGTGTACCTTCCCTTACCTAGATGCAGGCCTTCCTGCTGCGCGAGCATGGCGCTCCCTCCCCTACCCCATAGTACCCGAACCCACCCCTCCCTACCCCACGGTGCAGGCCCTCCTGCTGCGCGAGGATGGCCGCTGGCTGGCCGACGAGCAGTCTGCTGCCGAGGTACTGCGCGGCTTGCAGCCGAGATGTCGCCGAGATGTCGCCGAGATGTCGCCGAGATGTCGCCGAGATGTCGCCGAGATGTCGCCGAGATGTCGCCGAGGTGCAGCCGGGAGATGGGCGGGAGATAGCCGAGGTGCAGCCGGGAGATGGGCGGGAGATAGCCGACACGGCACCGCTGTCACTATCGAGTAGTCTGCTCTGCAGCCGCGACGGATCTGATTCGTCGTACTATAGCGACAAGGTCGAGGACAGCTACGGGTGGTCCTCGGCCTCAGGAGAGACCCATAGAGCAGGCAAGGGCCACTTCGGCGGTTCGTAGAAAGTATCGCGATAACGGGTAAATCACTGTGCGTCCCAGCGAAAAAGGGAGTTTCTTTCTGGTTCGCGAGAGAGCGGAGTTGCAGTTGGTGCATGGTAAATAAATAAATAAATAAAAACCGACACCTCTACTAAGGCCGAGTGCGCTGAGTCGTGTGGCTTCTGCACGCCGCCTCCTATGCTGACGGCCGCTGACGATCCGCTCCTCGGGCCCGAGCGCGTGGTCCTGAGCATTCACTATGGCGAAAACAAGTACGGAGAGGTGCAGCAGCACGCGCGGCTTAATCACTAGTAGCGGCTATAATCCGGTGCTGGCTGGGTGCCCACAGGTGGTACTCGGCTTTTATCCGAGCGTGGCGCCTGTCACCGTGGCGCACATCCTCCAGCTCGTGCGGCTTGGCGGCTACAACACCAACGAGATCTTTCGGGTCGACAAGGGGTTCGTGGCGCAGGTCCAGGGCGTCGACGGCGGCAGGCGAGCGCCCATGTCCAAGGGCCTGAGAGCTGTGGCCAAGCAGACGGTGCGAGACGAGTTCTCCTCGACCCTGCAGCACAAGCGCGGGGTGCTCAGCATGGGCAAGTTTGAGGAGCCGCACACGGGCACGTCGTCCTTCTCGATGCTGCTCGGCGACGCGCCCTCCCTGGACGGCAAGTACACCATCTTTGGGCGCGTCGTGGCGGGCGACCACGTCTTGTCGCAGCTCGAGCAGCTCGAGACGCGTCGGGAAGGCGCCGCGAGACGAGGATGCCCCGCGCGGGATGCCCCAGAGCTCTGCGCTGAAACCCTCTCCCTGACGCGCCGCGCCGCCGCAGGCATCTTCGTCAAGCCGAAGGAGCGGGTCGAGGTGGTCTCGGCCGTCCTCATGCACGCGAGCGACGGAGGCGGGCTGGAGCTGCACGAGTGCGAGGATCAAAAGACGGAGCTATGAGGAGCGGGGGGGAGGCGGCGCACGGACAGGTCTCGGCGTGGCGGGTGGGCGGCGGCGGCGGCTGGCGGCGGAAGTGAAGCTGGGAGGCTGTAAAACGTGTCGCAATCCGAATCCCGCGTGCATGCCCGCGTGTCACCCAGACTGCGTTTAACCGTTTTTTGGTTACATTGTGCGTTGCCATCGGCGCCGGTCGAGTGGGTGCATGCACCTGCGGCAGCGGCAGAGCGTACCCCACCCGAGATGCCAGCCTTGCGGCCAGTGCGGCGGCAAACGGGGGGGCATGGCCGCAATGCTCTGAGCGACGGCTACATTGATTCGCGCGAAAACCGACATTGCGAGGCGCTTCGCAACCAGAAGGCTCTCGGCGAGTGGAGCATGGGGCGGGTTGGAGCTGCAGCAGCTCAGACAGAGCTCTGCACGCGTGTGCACCTTGCTCGTCCCTATACCTTTGTGTGGACTTGTCAGTTGAACTGTTGTCACTTTTGAGCTCTACGATTAGGTGGGACAACGCTAGTTGGTCGGGTCACGCCCTCGATCTCTGCCCGCTGGGCCTCCCCAACAAACAAAAGCAGGTCTAGACCGCGTCTGCAAGCGCGCTCTCGCCTCTCGGAGAGGCGCTTTGTACTCCGAGGTTTTGGGTGCTAGAGCGGGGGGGCCCGCCGGAGGCTGGTTACTCATAGTGCGCTCTGACCGCTGAGCGCTGTTCCACGTGTGTCGTGTCAACGGTTTAAGAAACAAAGCACTCAACAGAACTGTGGTCTGTGCAGCTCAAAGACAAAGTTCCACAAAGTCAAAGAAACGCTCAACTGGTGAGTGGTGTGGACACTGTGCAAGAGCAAGCGCACCGCACCCCCTTGGCCTTCTCGGCGAGCGAAGAGGAGGCCGGTGTCAACACGCCCCGCTACACGCCCCGACCCCCGTGATGCGCCTCTGCCTCCCGCCAACACGAACTCCGTCCCGCACACCACGAGAGCCGGTCAGCGCCGGACACATTGTCGACACAAAACACTGCATGTACGCACGCGCTGCGCGAACGCGTGTGCTAGGACGCTCGCCGGCCCTTCTCTCTCTCTTTCCAGAGACAGACGCGCCGACTGGAGAGGCAAACGCCCCCCCCCCCCCCCCCCTCCCTCAGCTCCCCCCCCCGCCGACCGCCCGCCCGCTTCAAACCGGGTGCACCGTCACGGCTTGCACCGCCGCGCCTCCGGGAGGGACCGGCGTCCCGATGACGGTGGCGGTGGGTACGGCCTCGACCGCGACGGCGGTCACCACTGTCGAGGCCCTCGCCACGGGAGCACCGCCACCGCCGCCGCCGCCGTCGCCGCTCTGCCCCTCCCTCACGCTGAACATCGTGATGACGGAGGTCTGAAACGCGGCGCGCCGCGCGTTCAACTCCCGCCGTCGTCTGATCAGCGCACACCAGATGCTGCGCAGGGGCAGGAGAGATGTCGCGTGAGTCGTGAGACGAAGTGAATTGAGGCGGCAGCGTCAGCCGCGGCGGCGGAGGGGAGGCGGCGCGCACCAGAGGGAGAGGCAACCAAAGAACATCCAAAAGAACGGGAATTCATCGCTGTAGTCGTCGTCGTCGTCGTACTCGAGGCCTCGCCGTTCAAGGCGACGCAGCGACATCTCTGGGAACTCAGCGGCTTGAGTCCACCCAAAAACTGGACATAAGCGAGCGCTGACTGGATTTCCGCGTCTCGTTCAAAAAATAAACATCGGGGCCGTACTCCAAGTGCTCCAAGTGCTCCGTTGGCCTCTTTGCAGCGACATTTTGGGAACGGCGGGGCGGCCGGGGTTCAGCGCCTCGTAAATAAAAGACAAAAGCGTCTCTCTGCGGTCTCTTGTGAGCCTGTTTGTGTCTGTGTGTCGCTCGTGCGTGTCGTCATCATCTGTCCAGCGTCCACCCATACCGCGCTGGTGTCCAGTCCGAGCCTGGCTGTTCTTCACCTTACTACATACATGTCGTGTGTGCTTCTTTTAGCTCCCCGGTCCTGTGGGCGTGAGGTCCTGCGACCGCACTGCCGCACTGCTCCAAGTGCAGATTTGTTTATTCGTCCTCGGTTTCTTGGAGACAGGCGTCGGCGAGCTCGGACCCGCGCCGCAACAACCAAGCGGGGTGTCACCCCGACCGCCGCACACTGCAGTGCGCACATGCACCTCAACTCAGACATGCAGAGGAGCGCCGCCCACTCACTCCTTCAGTGCCCACGCGGTGTCCCCACAGGGTAGGTGAGTACTCTTCACACATAATGTTTGTCTAGGCCAGCAGGGGCCGCGCCGCAGGCCCCGACCCGCGGGACAGGACCACGGTCGCCGCGAGGGCGCCGACAGTGCACGCGAGCAGCGCGATGACGGAGGCGCCGGCCACGCGGAACCAGCTGGCGGCGGCGGCGCCCTGCAAGTCCACGTGGAGCGACGGGTGCCTGCTCGGCGCCGAGAGAGACAGAGCGGGTTTGGATCCGGCCCGGAGGCGCGCGGGCCGGGGGGGGGGGGGGGGGGGTAGGCTTTAAAGGGAGGGGGGAGGGGCACGGGCGGCCTGCAACGCAGGCCGTGCAGCTGGCACAACATCGCCGCGTTGAGCTGCCGGTTCCTCTCGGGCTG